CAATGAAGATGATGATGGCTGGACATGGATCTGGCTGATGCTCGTGACCATCGGGGCCTTGAGTCTGATTGAGTGGCTGCGGCAGCATCTGCTGAAGGCAACAGGCATGACCTGGGACTACATCGGAGTCACCTTCAGCAAGATGATCAAGGAGATCATGAAGTACAAGAATGATGAACATGAGAAAGCAACCCAGACGCTGAATTGGGTTGAGAAGGACTATGAGAAGGAAGAAATGGAGAACAAACTCTTCCAGCTGGACACATACATCGAAGAGCTGGAAGGCATAATTTGTGAACTGAAGCAACAGCGAGACATGGCACTGCATGAGTGCCAGCTGGCTTCAGAGTACAGCCTGAAGCTCATGCGCCAGAGCTTGAGCTACAGGGTATGTCGCCGTGGTTTGAAAATCCACTTTTGCGACCAATGCCCCCACTTTCAAGGGGCGGAACGTCTCGACATGTGCCGTAAGTGTGTGGGTGAAGGGACAGTGTCAGAAAGCATGGATGAGTCGGTCACCCACACATGACACGCACAAATCGAGAACACGCTGACGCATTAGGCCCAAGCGAAAAGAGCGTTCACGCTTCGCAGAATTCAAAGAAGCAGCTCAGTGGTTAAGTCGATGTTGAGCTGGCTTAGCCTGACTCTTCCATTCTGGGTGCATCCCGGGCTGCGCAGCGGACGCTGACCAAGTTCGATCCACAGTGATGGGCGTCTTGCGGGGCCCTCCAACATTGACAGTCGAAGGCCGGAAGTTCTTCGTGTGGCATGTTTTTCTGGTGAAAAGCAAAGATGTGTCACAAGGTGATGAAATTCACTTCTGATTGTAATTTTGTGCCACTTCAACTGATTCAGGGCTTTGGGCAAATTTTCCTCCTGCAAGGCGCTGAGGAACGACAAATCGTTCGACCTGTGGCGAGCTCAAGAAAGCAGCTTGTTCAGCTTGTTCGACTTCAAATCGGAACTGGCTCAGATCGTTCTTCGTCCGTTTGCAGACTGTTCTTTGGCTCGCTGCCGCATACCTCTTTGGATGTTTGGAGTGTTGCGACTTGCTAAGCTCAGCGCCAAGAGCACAGAGACATGGCAGCGCTCCTAGACTTTTTCGTTCATAGCGCAGTGTCAGTCAGTATAATCAACCGAACTAATCGATCTACGGCCTACGCCTTGTCATCTTCCCTGGCCGGTCGAAGCTTTGGTTGGGGCTCCCCTTCCTGCACGCCGGAGAGGATATGCTTGCGCAAGAGGGCTGTGCAGGCATCATGTCCTAACGTCCAACTAGGTTTCCAAACTATTCCAAACTATGTGTGTTCCATATAAGTTGGTGTCAAAACACTGCATGTTGCAACATCCTACGCAGTTCAATTGATGGATGAATCCAGGGTTGTTGAAACAACATGAGGGTTCATGAACCTATGAATCTCATACTTGGCAATACAGAAAAGCGCTTTTCTTCGAGATCGCCTCACGAAGCAGACCGAGGCCCCTGACTCCCTATTCCCAAGAGACACCTCGACAGGCGCCCGGAGAACAGACGCCTCGGGCAGAGCAGTTGATGCGGCCGATGCATGCAGAGCTTCCCTTAAGCGGGAACGATCCGAAACCCCAACGTTTCGGAAGATGTTTGTCTTCCAAATTCCAGGTCAGTTTTGGGAGGTCCTCTTGAAATCCGCCCGCACCGAAGGTGCTCAGGGCGTGATCATCCGGCCTATTTTTTGTCCAAAACAATGGTTTTTTGATAGGTCACGACGGCGGACTTCAAAAAACACTGTTTTTACAGCACGGGAATGGACTAGTCATGCGCCTGCCCGGAACCGGCAAGAGAAAAGTGAAAAAGACCTGTGTTTTTTTGACTTTTGGTCTTCGATTTTCGGTTTTGAGATGCGTATTTTTTCCATGTGTCTTGTCGGGAGGCCGGGGGCCAGATTTTGTGATTTCGGAGGTGTTTGGGTGACCGTTTTCGCCGTTTTTGTTGCGCAGAAACATTGAATTAGCGCAATTGAATTAGATGTAGTACACGTAGCGTAATTCGTCTGTGAAGGTGACTGTGTCTTAAACCAGTCCCAACATACACAGGGTTTCTGCATGTTTTGTACATTCTCTCCTGTGTGAATATCTACCCTAGAGTACCCCACCAAGTGGAAGGGCTGTTAGGGGTGTGACATGGACGAGTCCGCAAGTTGGTGTGTTGCGCAGAAACATTTGTTTTTGTAGTGTTTTTGTACATTGCCGAGGCTTGAGTTCTTTGCGCGAAAATGTAAAAAGCCTTGCAAATAGCAGTTTTTTTGGCGACCATGTTGTTGAAAACGTCGCAAATAGCTGTGTTTTTGGACAGCAGGTTCAAAAACATAGCGGTGCTTTGGGCCACGGCAAGCTCAAAAACATCGCTATTTGCAGTGGTTTCTGTCTCACAGAGCATACAAACACTATAAAATACGGTACGTAGTGAAGTTATTTGCAAGGTCAACCTCAAAGGTTAACCTCGCTATTCGGCGTTTTTGTTGGGCAACGATTTCATGGCGGTGCGGGCGGACCTTGCCGCGGAGCGGCGTGAATATGTTCTGATACTTGAGTTTAGTTCACTCTGTTTTTGTTGAGAGTCCTTTTGTCTCTACGAGGGAACCGAAAAAGACCAACAAATGCAACATGTCAGGACGGTTCCACACTTTTTCAGCGCAGCTGTGCAAGTGGTAAGTTGACCATAAGCCGTCAGAAGCCCCAAAGAAACTGTACGATCAGGCCATCACGGGCTCCCAAAGGCACTCAACTAGCGGGAGTCACACGACACTGGCGACTGGCAGGTTCGTGTGATGACGACCTCTGGCCTGGACACTGAGTGTAGAAAAGGCATTGCTCGACACGTGGGTCCCGTCCGAGGTGATGGCTCTGCAGCCTCAGGACGGCTGGACGGTTCGATCCATTAGAATCGAACCTTGGTGAGTGCAGGACCGGTATTGGAAAAAGCCTACACACGACGGTACCAAAGCACCCGTTCCTTTGACAAGGCGCAGCTTTTTGACAAGGCCCATCATTTTGGACATTAACTTAGCAGCTACTTAGCATTTCCTCTTGGCAGACCTCTGTGATGGGACAATCAGACATGGGTGAGATTGAGTTCGAAGAGGTCCGGGAGCTTGAGTTTGCAGATGTACGGGAATGTCATCTGAATGTCGCGCTCTGACCCACATACGTACCGGATTGCGATCTGAGAACCATCTCACTTTAACAGTTTGGGTCCATCAATGTTCATAGCATTCCGTGTTCTGAAGTCGACATGGCATCCTTTCGCTTATCCTGCTGTATTTTTCTGACTCAGAGGTGGCATTCAGCTGGATATATATATATAGGCTGAATGAATATTTATAGTATAGAGAGTATTGTATAGGAGAACATATTGTTTTCTGGTCTTGGGCTAACATTCGTTCGCTACAAGTGCATGATCCAACCTGCATTCCATGTCATTGTTTTGACAGCTTCTGGTCAATTGATGTTCCCCTCTCGTCATCTTATCGGTCCTTTGGTCGTTGCGTCCCCCCACTTCAGGTTGGACAGGAGATTTTCGACAAAGTCAAGGACCACAACGAGGCAGGGCACCAGAAGCCACTTGTTTCTTTTCAGCTCTGCATACAACCTGTGCGTTGTGACAAGACCAGGTGTCTCAAAAAGACAAACCCGGCAAGCTGCAGCTTTGCAGCTGCAGCTGTTGGATTCTTTTCGCAGTCCAGGTGCATCGTAGTGAGCTGGGCCGTGCTCTGGAGCTGTTGGGCTTTGTGTGTCCACGGGAAGCCTGGGCCGGGGGTCCTGAGTACTGAGATGACGGAGGACGCTGGGCTGCCTTTATGATCAGACTTTCAGAGGTTGTCAAAGGACAAAGGTGAAGTCTGATTGATTCTGGGCAGTGTGCGGCACATCCGTTGCACATGTGGTTGGTGTGACTCTCATGAGACCACCGTCTTCTAAGATCGATGAGATCTTCACACGGATCAGCCCACAGTATAGCACTATTGAAATTGATGCAGGGCACTCAGGGAGCATCAGTTGTTTCAATTTGGACGTCGGTTGTTGAGTAACAACGAACCTGCTGTGCCAAGGACTTTGTCACTTTCTTGCGCGATTATGCAGCCTTCCGCGATGAGGTTTGACGCTTGCGCTATTTTTCTTTGTGCTTCGTTGCGAATGAATGTCGGACTGGTTCCTGCGGACTGGTTGCATTGGATTCTTTGCCACACATGCCAAGTTTGACCTCGTGGTGGCGCACCGTAGGCCTACGAAGCCACCTTTCAGCGCTGTGACCAGGATGGCTCTGGGCAGATCGATGTCGGGAGCCGAGAAATCAACGGCATGCCTGGGGCATGAAGTACTCATTGTCCAAGGTGAAAGGCATACTTGAAACTTCGAGTACTGAATACAATACATTTGAGTACTGTCATCAAAGGGTTTTCTCAAGATCCCTCGCCCTGCTGCACCCAGTCCTCCGAACTGGCGGAGATGCTGCAGGAGCTGGATGTTCAGCCAATGTTCGGGAGCCAATGTTCTCTGGCGCCGTAGTGAACAAAGATTACTTGATTTGATGCTAGGGAAGTGCAGGGAATTTTGAAAAACTAAAGGAGGACAGATTCAACTTTTGTAAATTGTACCTGGTATGCTGGATACCAAGGTCACATGTGTTGGAGGAGGCTGATGATGACGTGGGTACGGTTGTGCATAATGAAGATGTCGTGGTTCAAGATGTGATTTTTGATTCGCCCCCGCTGCCCCCATTTCAACAGCATCAGCAATTTGTCAGTCTCCAGGTCATCGAAGAAGTGGACAAGGCCTGGATCCGCCAAGTTGTTTAATTGATCAAAGATAAACTGGCCGCTAGTAGCCTCCTCGCTCCTAATAGAAATGCCCTTTGTTCCTAGTAGCGATGCCCTTGCTCCTAGTAGCTTCTTGTTCCTAGTAGTAATGCCCTTGTTACTAGGAGAACGGGGGTAAACTGGCCGTTTTATTCTGCCCAGGACCAAGGCGGAACTCTCGACTTGGATGAGTTCAAAGAGGTCGTCGTCGCGGGTCGCCGTCGTTGGTTCTGTCTTGGTGTCACTCTCTCTCTCTCTCT